TTTGAGGCTAATCAGCCAAAAAGTAGTTTTATTTAAAAATGAAAATAATTCTCTACAAAAATGACAGATGCCGGGTTTAAAGGGCAGACAGAGATTATAACATTAAACCATTCAGTGTCAATTTATCACAAATATAAAATACAAATCACAGGTTACTGCTTAAGCTGTGATCCTAAAGCCTTTGTTTACATATCACTTGGCAGAAGTGAACTATGTGCAGGTTATTCACTACCTAGAGTTGATCCTATTGTGTTGTTACATTTATTAACATACATGTAATCAGGTGACTTTAACATCAATGCCCCTGTGTTTCTGGATAGATTGACTTGGAGAGTATATTTGCACTTAACCCAGATGTGGCTCCAGATGAAGAGATTGCCCCTAGTCCAGAGACTCCACCCCCACCAACACCCACATGTGTGAAGATCAACAAAATTGCAAAGGTGAGTACCAGTGCCCCACCTTATCTGTCAGCAACCGTAACAAATCCGTCCAAAGTATGATTTTTAGATGTTTAAATATAACCGTAACTCTTTTTCTTTGTGATTTGAGTGTCTGGCTCCAAATGAAAGCAAGAGGGCATCTTAAGTGCTCAGGCTTACTCAGGTAGTAATGAGGCTGCAGTTAGACCTTAATATAGAACCTGGATCCTTCAAGGTAACCAGCTAATTGGTCCTGTTCAGTACACTGTGTGAAGTACACAGAAGATTAGAGCGACTGCATATTACCATGTAATCAAAGTGATTGTTTTGTTAAATATTGCACTTGTGATTCAACCTCTTGTATGGTATTATTTCATATGTTTCCATGTCAAATGAAATGATGTGGCTTAAGTATCAATAAAATCAGTTATACAACTAATGTGCTGTTTAATTGGTCAGAAGTGGGGATCTGCAAAAAAGCGAAGCAACTTGCAAGTGCATTGAATTTGTGAGACCTCTGGGATGAACTTTGAACTATGAAGTCCTATTAAATTTAATTCAACAAAAAACGAACAAAGGAGTAGAAAAGACTTCAACAAAAAGATTCCATTATTGCTTGTTTTTTAAAATCTTTGCCCTAATCACAGAAACATCGATTAATGATGTGCATTTAAATAAACCCTCTAAACCTCTAGCCTGGTAGTTTATATGCTCTATATGTTTGTGTGCTGCTCTTATGACTTTTGTAAAAGATACTTTGAGATTCATGCATGAGCTGTGTCAATAGAAGGGGTCTCTGTACTCAGCACTAATCTGAGTCTCAGGGCTCGTCTATTTCTGTATCTCGACATAACAGCAGCACATAAGAAAAATAATGTTTCCTCCTTCAGGTCCTGAGCAGGAATGAACTGTGTTAACAGTGAAATTAGGATTTACTTTTCACTAAACCTCTTGTCCTACAATATCTTGCTGTGGCTTGTGTTTTCTCCTGCAGAACCGTCGGACGATAGCACCAAATAAGAATGACACTCCGTCCAAGGATAATAGAGGTTTGTTTGTTAAATTATTCTCATGATATATAACTCAAATGATCAATGCTTTAAAAAATATCTGTGACCAATATGATCAGATTATTCTGAGAATTCATTCACAATATTTCACACATTTTAAACATGCTATATGACAATCCTTTATGACTGGTTGTCCCTCTGTCACACAAAGTCATTTGTAAGTTTATCAAGTAAAATTAACTTAATTTTAAGAACAGCTATTTTGAAGAGTTTTTAGAGAAGTTGAACTGTTTTGCATTATAGAGAGTTGCTGTTATTGAGCCTATACTCATTGATATAAATAAGGTGATTCTTGCATATCCGTTTGTATTTTTGCTGCGTCCTCTGTTACCTTTTAAACTTTGCTGTTTAAATACTCACAACTATTCAGTCAGTTTTAACTTTGCTTTCATTGTCTCCAGTTCTGTGCAGCACTCATTCACCCTCAGTTGATGAACATTTCTTTCATCTTCTGCCGTTCTTGTCTGCTCTTCTCTTCATTCTCTTTTGCCCTCAGTTCTGCACGGTACAGCGGAAAATGTATCAGCTGTTATGGTCTTTTCTTCGATTTACTGCACTGTTATGTTTAGTTATTCAGGTGATTACTCTGAATATGTTAAAGGTTCTGTGTGAAGAATTTTGTGACATCTAGTGGTGAAGTTGCATATTGCAGCTGAATACCCCTCACTTCATTCTCCTCTTCCAAACATGAAAGAACTTGTGTTCGCCTTCATTTGTCATTAAAACTCAAAAGGTGTTTAGTTTGACCAGTCTGGGCTACTGTAAAAAAAACAAGGCGGCTTCCGTAGAGAGGACCCGCTCCTGATGTAAATATAAAGTAAATATAAAGTATATAAAGGGCTCATTCTAGGGTAAAAACAATTTGTACAATAAAGATGTAAGACACCTGTGAAAACATTACTAGTATTATTGTAAATTCAATTTCTGCGAATAGATTCCATTCACTTAAATCTGACAAACTAAACCTTTAATCTACAGTAATAACACTTATTTGTGACTTACTATTTAACTCCACCCATTCAAACACTTCAAAGGATTAATTAAGCAAGTAATTATTTGTTTAGTTTGCTTTAATGTTACAAAGATTTATACGATCTGGAGACACAAGAGTGTTAATCAGATCTATTCGTTTGTTTGTATTGATAGTGATAGTGATAGCACCACCTACTGCCAAAAAAAGTAAGACTCTTTTTTACCACTTCGATTTACATTAAATCTTCACCATGTGGTCAACACTTGATGTCGTGGGCGTGGTCTAGCACCGCGTGAGGGTTGCAGGTAGTGGCGGGTTTATCCTTCCCATGATGCACAAAACACACGCAACATGGAGCCGTTTCATCTGGTCCCTGTTTGCCCTCCCTCCGTGGCCGCATCAGGTCCTGAGATCACAAGTGCTCGGGCCCCCACAGTGCTGCTTGTAGCCCTCAACACATTGAGTTGCAACTTTTGGGTTGAAGTCAACTGTGGACAAACACGTTTGAAGTTGTTTGAATATTATATTGAAAACGGAGGGTTCTTTTTTAACTTACTAGTGTTGTTTTAGGAGCATATGAGTCAAACGTGCTTGTTCTTAATCTTTGTGGTTTTGTGTTTTCAGTGATTCCGACCCGGGCAAGACCCCAGCAGCCTCCGCAACCAGAGCAGGCGCCACCGCCTCCATCACAGCAGCCTGCTCAGCTCAATCAAGCTCAGACTCAACAGCAACTACAGAATGGTAACATCATCAAATCAATACTGTTTTTTTTGTTTATTTTTTTATGAAGGATTGGATCATTTGATTCTAGGCCACCTGCAGAAACAAACATCACTTTCTTAATGTCGTGTTTTTGTTGACTACATGTCACAGAGTCCTCACATCACCTGATATCCAGAAAGGAGTCTGGACAGCTTTGTATGTATCACCTGCATGTTTCCCCTGCCTTCAGTGCTTCATGGTGATTTTAATAGAGTTCCCAATAGAATCTGAGAGTCATCTAGTCCTCAGAAGATTGTACACCCAAAATGTCTGCCAGATACTATTCTGTGGTGTGGTGGTGAAGTAGCACAACAAATCCATCCAGCAGACAGGCTTTCTGGGTATTAGACAAGGAGTAAAAAAAAGATTTGTGCTGCTGTTTGACTGTGTGTCTTTTATCCGTCTGATTTCTGCTGAGTCACACACAAGCCCAATGTGGAAAAGCCTGTGGCACTCTGCGATGCTCCTCCAGGCTCAGATGACAACAATGACCTTTTTCTTTATCCTCCGTTCCTTCCACATGCTCACTGTCATTTGATGAACAAAGAGGAGAAGGAGGGAAACACCTTGTTCCCCCTCCTCATCCCCTCAGCTGCCCCTCCGACTGCCTCTATAACTTAATAATCCTTAACTAGTGATGATGCTGCCACCCTGTTGTAGAGCTGTGTCCCGGTGCTGACCCAGCTCATCTACTCCTCCCAGATTAGAGCAAATTATTAATCCCTATGCTCTGGTAGTCTAGGTTCTCAGTGACTGGTGCCAGCAGGCTTTGGTCTGCCTTTGCAAAGGGAAGCTGGGCTGTAGCATTGGGACATGACTTATCAGATGACACTGATCGTTATGAAATCTTAAAGGGATAGTACACAGAAAAATGAAAATTTCCTCATCTACTCACCACTATGCCTATGAAGGAGGGGGGGAAGTGTTTGAGTCCACAAAACACTTCTGTCATAATGATAAAGAGGGAATCTTCATTTTTCAGTGAACTATCCCTTTAAAGAGTCAGAGAGGGCTTACTCACACTTTTGCTAACTTGTGTTTTCTTATTGCATTTACTAAGAGGTTGACCTGAATTAATACTAATCTGTGGGTGTTCTGTGCTGGGAAATTTGAAATAATCCTCTGGTTGATGGATGGTTGAACGATTTTCTGCACTTCGTTTAACATAGAGATCTTCACAAGTCCAAAAATTTGCAGTAAAATGTTTGTCTGTTTATTGTCCCGGTGACGGATGACAAACGTGGCTTGTCTACTGTCAGCTTTGCAGGTTTGTTGCAGTTTAATAAAGATAGCTTGGCTATCTGGAGCTTGTCAGGTCCACTTAGTTATTACACATAATATGAAACAGAGCTGGACCTGACTGACTTGCCTCAAAGCACATATCTTATCCAGCAAGTCCTCTGGTCCAGTTGTGTGTTCGGATGCAAACAGAAGTGATGAATGAAGGGAGAGAGAGCATGTTTTGAGCACATTGTAAAGGCCTTTTGTTATGTAGAGAAAACAGCTACTGTTAAACTAGGGTCACTGTGTGCAAGACTCTGCATCCTGGTCTGTGCTTGAATACTATCACTGTTCTACTTTAGTTGGAAATAGGCCAAGGTTTTCCCCTTCTGTTTGAGCAAAGGCCACATGAGAGAAAGGAAAGATGCAGTGAGAGAAAGATGCTGCTCACGTCAAGTGTGAACACTGAGGAAAAAGAAGAAATGGATTGGAAGAGGGATGAGAGAGAAAGAGGCATTTTTTGAAAGAGAAGCTGATATATTGGCAGCGAAAGGGAGCATAGTAACAGTCTCTCTTGTCTTTATGGCAGCGAGGAGGAAGTCGAACTGTGTGAAAGAGGTGGAGAAACTGCAGGAGAAGAGAGAGAGGCGTCGGCTTCAGCAACAGGAGCTCAGGGAGAAGAGAGCTCAGGTACAATTCAACCATTCAACTTTCTCCCCCTGAATCTATTTGATGAATCTTGATCATTAATCAGTCATGGTCCTGAGCTAATATCCTGAAAGACATTAGATGATTTTCTGATCAGTGAATACATCTCCCTCTTGTCATTTTCTTTTCAGGAGGTGGATACGACCATTCCTAACTATGAGATCATGTACATGATCCGAGAGTTCCGAGCCAATCTAGACTACCGGCCACTGACCACAGCAGATTTGGTGAGTAGACAGTTTCTTCTTCTTCATCTTGGTTGTTGTGTGTTTGCCCTCAGTCACAAACTATTAATAGACCTTCTCTGTTTCACCAGATTGAAGAGCACAGAATATGTGTTTGTGTCAGGAAACGTCCACTCAACAAAAAAGGTACGTTTTTTTATCGTTGTGAGCAGCTGTCACATGTCATGTTCATTAAAAAAATAGAATTAATAAGTATTATTATTGAAAGTCTTTGTTTTGCTGTTTTGCAGAATTGTCAATGAAGGATTTGGATGTGATCACCATCCCCAGTAAAGATGTGGTGATGGTGCATGAACCTAAACAAAAGGTGGACTTGACTCGCTTCCTGGAAAACCAGACATTCCGCTTTGACTACGCTTTTGATGACAGCACCACCAACGAGATGGTTTACAGGTTTGTAACGACAAACACGGCACGTCATAAGAGCAAGCCATTTTATGTGCTCGTTCTTACAGACACAAGTCACTCTCAAGTATTCAGTGTGAGGATAATGCATAGTTTTCACAGAACTGATGTAATGACTTTAATCAACATGTCTGTGTGTAAAATGGTTGGATGTTATACCTTTGGCAGGAGGAGTAGTGAATGGATGTGTGCTCTGTGTTTCACTGCAGGTTCACTGCCAGACCCCTAGTGGAGACCATCTTTGAGAGAGGCATGGCCACTTGCTTTGCCTACGGACAGACAGGCAGCGGAAAAACACATGTGAGTTACATTCAAGGAAAAGCCAAAAAACACATTTCTTACAACGGATGAAACCTAATTTTCCTATGAGGATTTTATTGCCTATAATTTCAAAATATCACTTCACTTATTTTGCTCTGTGTTCTGTATTTTAGACTATGGGTGGAGATTTCTCTGGGAAGAACCAAGACTGCTCTAAAGGAATTTATGCACTAGCTGGTGAGTCAGTGAACCTTTTTTTCGGAACTAATTTGTTGTGTAGTGTTGTGAAGTTGTTCAAATATAATTTAAGGTTAAATGTTTAGATCTCTCATCTCTCTTTTCTTTCAGCTCGGGATGTATTTCTCATGTTGAAGAAACCCAACTACAAGAAATTAGATCTACAAGTGTATGCAACCTTCTTTGAAATCTACAGTGGAAAGGCAAGTGATGTGTTATTCATGTTAAGGATATTCTCACAATATCTGTGCTTTCAGTCAATGTCATCTTTAAAACAAAAAGGATCCTCTTTTCGGCAAATGAATTACTCAAAAAAATTAAATAGCAAAATACTATAAAGTACTAATTGGATCCCTGGCAGTTAGAGCGATCATAGATTTACCAACTGTCCTATTAATGTCTTAAATCATTTGAATTATTCATATTGGTTTTATTTAAAATTGAATTTTATTTATTATCGAGCTCTAACAGAGAGAGAGAGAGATGAGTTTTGCTCACTACTTAGTTTTAACTATTAATTCTACCCTAATAAATAATATTCACCATGTTCAACTCACCAATATCAATTATACATTTTCTTTAATTATAGTCAGTATCAGATAATCGCAACAGCACTAGATGTAATCATTAGTTTTTGTTGTTTTTTTGCTGTGTGTACCTTTAGGTGTTTGACCTGCTGAATCGTAAAGCCAAGCTGAGGGTGCTGGAGGATGGAAAACAGCAGGTGCAAGTTTTGGGGCTTCAGGAGAAGGAGGTGAAGTGCACAGAGGACGTCCTGAAACTGATAGAAGTGGGCAACAGCTGCAGGTATGACGACAGAAACCCAAGCAATCTAGTTGTTAGTGGTGCAATCTCACGACTCGGAATTCATGTGTTTGTTCACTACTTATTCTTATGATCATATCATAACTGTGGAACATTTATTTTTGTCCTGTATGAACTTTGACGTCCATGGTCACATTCTCTGTAAATTATGCTCATGGCACTTTTTTCTGGCTCCTGCAGTTCTTTTTTTTTTTCGCTCTCGTTTGCCTTATGTTCATCTTTATGTTATCTTGCTCTCTCTCCTAGAACATCAGGGCAGACGTCAGCCAACGCTCATTCATCTCGCAGCCACGCCGTATTCCAGATAATTCTTCGGAGGAAGGGGAAGATGCATGGCAAGTTCTCCCTCATCGACCTCGCGGGAAACGAGAGGGGGGCTGACACGTCGAGTGCTGACCGCCAGACACGTCTGGAGGGAGCTGAGATTAACAAAAGCCTTCTGGCGCTGAAGGTCTGTAGGCGGGGAGGGGAGTAGCTCTCTTGGTAGAGACTCCAGCATTTCACTTTATTTCGTAATCACTAAATTGCTTCCTTTTTCTTTTTTATTATCACACTTTCTTCACCTTTCATGATTCAGGAGTGCATCAGGGCTCTTGGCCGCAACAAGCCCCACACTCCCTTTAGAGCCAGTAAGCTGACCCAGGTCCTTAGAGACTCCTTCATTGGGGAAAATTCACGCACATGCATGGTCAGTTCTGTTTTTATAAATAACGTGTTGTCTCACCTCTGCCATACGTGACATTAATCTTAATGATCCTCTCTTTTTCTCTCTTCACAGATTGCAACAATCTCTCCCGGTATGACATCCTGTGAAAATACACTCAACACACTACGCTACGCCAACAGGTGGGAATAGCTACCACAGTGATTTCAACAGTGCCTCTTTGCCACAGAAACCAATACAAGTTTTGAAATTGAGCTCCTATGATTCTACTATAATCCCCAGAGGTTTTTGTATCAATTCAAATTAGCTGTACAAATGTTACTTGGAGTTCCTCTACCTAGTCTCAGTTCTAACTCTCGTGTCCCCTCTCACTTCTCTTTGTCCTGCTTTGTTTCCCTCTCTTCTCTCCTGCCCTCTGTTTGTCTGTGGGCTCTTGCCTCTGTGTAGAGTGAAGGAGTTTGGGATTAGTCCGTCGGACATCCCCTTCTCCCAGGGCGGCCAGGGGAGCCGCCCTGACCTTTCGCCCACCAATACCTTTGAGTACGATGACTTTGCTGCTACCTCTCCCAGCAGGTCAAAAACGTCCCAAAGAACAGCACTGAATACACACACACACACACACACACACACACACACACACACACAAAGCATGCGCTCCCCTCAGGTTTTGATTATATGATACCCGTCCATGGTCTAATTTCCCTTGCTTTCATTCACTTCATCAGTTCACTGTGGAAAACCTCCTCTGTTGTCTCATCCTTCCTATGCATGATGTGACACTTTTCCACCTCCTCCTTTGCTTTCATTTCTTTTTTCCATCTTAAATAAGCTGTGGACCTCACTGTTTTCTTTTCACTGACTCCTGAAGAACAACATAACCATTTTATTTGTTCTGTGTGACATCATCAGTGGTGAGGCCTGAATGGGCGGGACACTCTGAATATATACATGATAGTTCAGAACTGGACTTCATGAGGCTTTATGATTCCTTGATGACTTTTAGAGGCAGTGTTCAACACTGAATATCGTTCTTCTCATGCTTGCTTGGGTCGAATATTTATCTATATTAATAATATACACCACCAGATGACCCCCGGCTCCTGTCATAATCCATGGTCTGCAAGTCTGACCCATGTGGTCACAAAGCTAAAAGCAGCAAGCTCCTAGGTTGAACACTGCCTCTGAAGCTCAGGAAGGATGAAGCAGAAAACTGTGAAGCAATTAAGTAAAAGTATCAAGGATGAGCTTTTGTTTGGATCAAATGCTGAGCAGGTAATCCCTCTCACATGGTCCTGATTCATTCAGCCTTACCTGCAGGTCAGGTCCAAGTTGCTAATATCTTATTAGCTGGGTGAGGCCTCATTAAACATGAGCTCAGAGTTGGATTGATTGTATTGTACAGGTGAACCAGACAAACCTCCCACAGTAAATAGACACAGAAATTATATAAACATTTACAGGACCAACACGGTCATCTCTCCCCATGCATGATCTCACTGCTGTCATGATGCTGTCATCCTTTGCTATTCGTGAACGCTTTTCACCCGACAGTTGACACTTCTAAATCAAACGGCAGCCCCGCTCAGAGTGGGTCTGCGCCACGGGGAGACTCTGTCCTGACCAGATCATTGTCTTTTCTCTGCAGAGTCAAGGAGCTGACTGTGGACCCCAACCAAGTGATTGAGGGCGGTCGTCCTAACATCAACGCTGTCAATCAGCTGGATCTTTTAGACGAGCAGTGGCTGAGTATCTCGCCACAGAGAGACGACCTCAAACTGCTCTGTGAGCAGAATGTAAGTAGGATTATGGGTATGGATCTCATCTTATATCAAGTTATATGTAACATCATGTCATATAACATGTATACAGCATATTCTAAATAAGTGATTCATGGACAATTAGGAAACTGAAATTAATAGTCAGTAATGTCCACTGGAATCCAGATGTCTGTCAGATGTACAGTTTTTCTCGATAGTGAAGTCACAGTGTAAATGTTTTGCAGGAGGAGGAGGTGTCTCCCCAGCTATTTACCTTCCATGAGGCCGTGTCTCAGTTAGTGGAGATGGAGGACCAGGTCCTGGAGGACCACCGAGCTGTTTTCCAGGTAAGAGCACTGAACTTAGGATGCTTTCACACCTACCTTCTTTGGTGTGGACCTTTCCACTTTTAAATAAAACACCAGGACTGAAACTGTATGTAAGAAAGGAGTTGTACTTTTACATGTTCTCTCTAGAAAAGCTCTCACTGGTATCATTTGTAAAAGCTGCAGTAGTTCTATGCTGCTGGTTCAATTTTATTAACTAAATAAGCACCTTTCTCTGTGTGCAGGAGTCGATCCGCTGGCTTGAGGATGAAAAGGTGCTGCTGGAGATGACAGAGGAGGTGGATTATGATGTGGAATCGTACGCCACTCAGCTGGAGCAGATCCTAGACCAGAAAATAGAAATCCTCACCGAGCTCCGAGGTATGACTACAGTCGAGAATGATTTGATGCCATGCATCCTGTTACGACAAACACGAATCACTTCAGTTTTACGATAATGTCTCTTCCTCTCTTCGACAGATAAAGTGAAGTCATTCCGCTCTACTCTCCAGGAGGAGGAGCAGGCCAGTAAGCAGATCAATCCCAAGAGGCCACGTGCTCTTTAGTGACTGGAGGCTGAAGAGATTGAAGTGGCACATACAGAAAAGTAACCACTAGATGTTTGGCACAACTCCTGCTGTCAAGAGCAGCCTTGAGAAAACATTAAAAAAGGACTTTCTGATATATCGACAGGCTCAAGGATTCTTATTTGTCATGATCCCTCTCCTGTAACAGAACTGGCTCCTCACTCATTATGGTCTTGTAAGAAAACTCAGCAAGGAAAATAGTTTTTCCTTCTTTTTCATGAAGAATGTTTTAGTTTCCTCTCCCCCATCTTATTTAATTATTTTCTTTTATACTTCTTTGTACTTTCTTTGAACAGAATATTTTTTTTGACCTGGCTGAAGAGATCTCCATCAGTCATGTTTTTAAGGTTTACTGCAGAAAACCAGTATTTAATATGTGGTTTCCCCTGGCTGACATTTCTGCATGTGCACTCAGTGATAGCGTATGTACACCACTGTGCTCAGATTTCATGCTTTGACTCCTCAGTTGGAAAGACATATCTCATAAGCGATCTCTTCTTTCATTTCCTTCCTTCTGCAGTGTCAGGCTAATTCCCATTTGTGTTTCCTTCCTTGTGTCCCTGAGGTTTTTTTTACACGTAGTAATCTTCAGTTTGTACCATTGCATTCTATCTGGTAACTGACTTAAAACATTCTTACTTAATGTAAAACATGTTTTCCACCCCTGTTTAACACTTTGTTATAAAAACTAAACTAGAAAAACCTGCTATTAATAAATGAATAGTGATGACTCCTGACCTAACATTGGTTATATTGCTCAGTGTTTGCACTGGATGTAATGCTGGATGAAGTAATAAAAGATTCCCTTCATTTTAAAGGCTTTTGGGTCAGTTAATTATACAAATCTAAATACTGATTACTGCCATGTTTGAGTACAAGAGTCACAGTGTTCCCGCAGTTCAAGTTCATAAAACCCATTTGAAGGAAGATAACCTGCCATTAACTAATGCAAGAACTAAAATAACTTTTCACAAAACCTTCAATTGTCACTACACTCAAGAAACCAGTGAATTACGCCAAATCAACCATGTAGAAAGGAAGCAGTTCCAGTAGCCACAGTTCCAGGGGGGGGGCACAATTGGAGAAGCTCATGGTCTTAGGAATATGACAGTAGGCTACTAGAAGCTATCATCTCGCTCTGTACTAAAGACCGAGAGTGGATATCATCCACACAAAGATCGACCAACATCAGAGGTTATCTGACGACTCTTAAATACAAAACAAACGCAGCCTTTCAGAGAATAATGATGAATTGATGCAGTAGATGTTACATCTGCATTAAGAGGAGCTTGTATGGTTTGATTACAGCCAAAGAATGAATGTGATATTATGGAAGGAGGTTCTTACTTTCAGGCTGTGGCTCAGGAAAATAAGTGACAACCTTCACCTTGACAAAATAAGGTTCTCACTGAGGAGCAGAGTCTCAGTTTAACAGGATTTTGCTGCACCTCGTCTGTTACCTAAAAAACTATCCACATGTTGACTGTCCAATATTCTTCTTCACCTGATAAGGTCTTTTGTGTTTATATTGGACACTGTTGTATTTTTTTTACAAATGAAAATGTGGACTGTTTTCTTCTCCTTCATCTTATCTTCAAAAAACATACTCGAAAAAGACAATAGATTATACAAATCAAAGGACTGAATGACCTCCATTAACCTTTGAACTGAGAAGCTATCATGTACCATTGTACTCATCTTTGTTGTCGTTTTACAGAGAAACACCACATAGCAACAGCAGCTAGGGAAACAATGTGCGTCAGTATCCATGGTGACAGTTGCTACCTGCTTCAAGTGAGAAATGCATCCCTGCTCACACAGAAACCAATGTGATGTCATGCATTGAAGTGAATTGCAGAAAATGGATGTAGCTATGTATCTCTCTTACCTGACAGGTTGATGCAGCTGCAGCTCGATGCTTCAGACGTTTTCAGACAGTTGCAGTGACAGGGTCGTTCTGCTGCTTCACTGTAAACAAACATGTACACTGTTTTCATAGGGATGTGATTTCCACCAGGTCGGACAGTCTCTCCTGATTAGAAAGTTTTATTGTGAAAGGGTTTCATTGGAAACACTGATGTGTCACAGTCTGCCTTGACAACCTCTGGCGGCCAGAGCGGGTAACTGCATCTAATTCTTCAGCAGGAATAAACATTTGAATGGCTGCAAGAGGAGACTGAACCACATCATGAACATAAACACATGGCCCCTCAAAGACGTCACAAAACGCACTAATTAATTGAAAAGATATCAAGCAACAGTTGCTGCCCCTGACTTGACAATTCAGTGAGTCACGTGATGTGGACACAAAAAATGTGACAACAATAATAACTTGTGGACAATCTTAATTTATTGTGAGTTACTGCTCATACAGCATTAAACGACAGAGTACAGTACGGAGTATTAGGGCCACATAAAGGTGACAAAACATTCAGATTGAGAATAGTCATAATACTACGGAAACAAAATATTATAAGAAATATAAGTATAAAGTCATTTTAGACAGGGAGTATCAACTTTAGCACGAGTTACCTTACTGCTTCTCTTCATTTCTTGAAATATCAGGAATTGAAACTCATTAAATTATGACATAATTCAAGTAATATTATGACTCAATTCTTGAAATCTCTTGAACCTTTTCTCTTCAATGTGGCTCCAATACTCACCTTCTCCAATAAGGCCGTTTTGAAGAAGTTCAGACTGATTTTTGATTAGAATAATTACAAATTATTTTTGATGGATGACAAATTCACGCACACACACAGCTTATACAGCCTCCATCAGCCAAAAGTTGTCCCAGTGAAAGTCATGAAGGTAAAAAACTCAATATGAGCTCTTTAAATGTTTCCTCTACATATTCTTTGTATATTTCATCCAAGTGTTTCAATGTGGGAAATTCAGTTCCTCCAAGCAAATCTCCACAAGAAGAACGAGAAGTCAGAGTCTCTTTTCTTCCCACTCACAGGACTGCTAACTTCACCCCCCCATCAGAAAGGCTGGAGTCATACAGCTTCACTTCCCTCTACCATTTAAGAAAAGTGGATTCCTGCGGAGTTGAACGCGTGCAGCAGTCTAAGGATGTAGAAAAATACCCACGATTAAACAAGTCAAATCAGTCATTTAGTTTCAGGTAGATTAAAAAGTGATTTGAAGGAACTTACACCATGAAGTCATCGATATCCATGGACCTGGCTCTCTTCTCACAGAAATCTACCTCCTGCAACACGCTCTCGATCTTCTTGGTGATGCTGAAGTCTGTCGGAACTTCCTGTCAAGGTGAAGCACAAGACTCTAGATTCAGACACGCCTGCTTATAAGTGTGTTATAAGTGGCAGTTTTTAGTCAGAATCCAACATGGCTGACAGAGCTGTGTACTGGGATGTTCACTCACCACACTGTGCACAGAGCAGTGGATTCGGTAGTTCTTTTCCAGCAGCTGTTCCACAGCAGTCGACCTGGAAATGATAAGTCCACATTACTGACGGTGTTGTTTTCCCCATATGTTCTTCTGACAGAACAGGCTGCAGGTGGAGTGGGAGCATCTGCAGCAGGCGGTTAGTTACTCACTTGAAAGCTGCACTGAGTGTTTTGTTCTTCCTCACGAAAGCTATTCTGACCAGGCCGTCCCACTCCTGTACCGGAGAGAGGAGAGCACAGACGTCTACACTTCATCTCCTGTTCTAAATACTAAGGTCATCGAACAAATACATAAATACAAAAAAGCCACACAACAGAAACACAACAGACGATGACAATGAAACAAGCAGAGTTATTTACTGTGGTCGTCAGCCGTCATGTGTGAAAACCCAGACAAGCCAGTCACAGCTTACAATGTGATGGTCGTACCTTTGGGGTGCTATGGTGCATGTGCTTGGAGCACCAAGAAAGGAAGAACGCACTCATCGTGTAACACCTCAAATAGACGAGAATCAAAGTTTAAGCGGTCACTGGCTTGTCTGGGTTTTCACAAACAACAGTTGACTTGACCAAAGTCAGTAACTCCGCTTGTTTCATTGTTAATATTCATTGTTGCTCACTTCCGTTGTAGTTGTGTTTCCACCATTTCCATGAATGCACTTGTGTGAGAAGTCTTAAGAAACTCTACCTGGAAGTTAACTGGAGGGGGAGGATTTTTCGGTTCTATCCTGACGACACTAGACTCCACTTTTGGAGGAGGACGGAAATTATTCTTCCCCACCTGATTAAAGGGGAAACATCAACAGAGCGTCACAGTTGTTGCAACAGAAGAAAAATCGAGATGAAAAAGAATCTTCCAAAGACACCGTCATCATGGAGTGGTGTCAGAGTCGCCGTTGGACGAACAACGTGCACACCGACCTTCATGAGGTGGTCGACACGAGCCAGGAGCTGTGTGTTGATGGACAGGCGGCAGTACAGCTTCTCTCCAGGTGCGGCGACCAGTCGCATGGCAAACTCTCTCTGGAACATCAACACGGCACACCTGAACAGAAGTGAAAGAAAAAGAGCCTCTGAGTGTTCAACGTGCACATGGGATAAAAGGAGTTCAAAACATTCTTCTTCTTTTTTTCTTTTAACTTTCTGACCTGAAGAAAGGTCGGTGAAGCAGGAGCTTGAAGACAAACGGTGATGAAATCTGCACACGGCACAAAGAAAAGCAGAGATTTAGATAAGTGCAGTGAATGACGTATTATCAGATCAGCTGTGTGCAGGAGGAGAGCGTGTGTTTACCTGGTAAGGTAAATTAGCCACACAGACGTCGAAGAAAGGCAGATCTGTTTTTAATACATCTCCAACTAATATTTGAAGCTTGGTCTGCATGGGCCTGTTGGATAAAAACAACGTCCTTTCATTAGATTACATTTTCATTTCTATTCAATTGTAGACACCATGCAGATACACAGTGTAGAGCCCGACTGATTTACAGTTGGCAGATAAAAACCAGCAGATATGAGCCTTTCAACAGAACAATGCAGAAAAGATGTTTTACATTTTGTGTTAAAAATTATTTTCTAAAATCAAGTTCTGCATTATATATACATTCAAAATTGATTTATAGTTATTTATAATTAAGTTTGTGGTTATGTCATAAAGGTTTGATATTGACAAATTCTTACTGGCCCCCGAACACATAAAAACACATCATGTCGTCACTCACGTGCACTGTACTCTTTTCTGAAGCTCAGCCACCAGTCTGCCGTCCAACTCACAGGCCACCACCTGCAGGAATATCAATGACTCTTTGGAATGAAGAGCTACAGATAATGGAGGAGGTTGTAAACCCTGACGATAAAGTGAATGAGAATGTTTCTGACATGAACTCTGAAGAATGGGTCCAGACTTTTTCTGTAGTTTCTCTATTACACATGAAGAACGCAGCAGGAGGTTGTCTGGACGCGTTCAGAAAAACAAGACAATGTCAGGACCAGTCAGGAGTCAGGACATGACATCATTTCTGCTGCGATGTTAACGACTTTTTTGCCATCCCAGCAACTTGTTTGAGAAGTTCGCATCAGCCCTTATCACCAAAGGCTCTTTTATCTCATCTTTCCAAGTTGCCATGTTCGTCAGTGTCACAGAGATCTCATCAACACACTCACTCGATTGCTGTTAATTTTTTCACTTGACATTTTCCTGCTTTTCATTCTCAAACGGGCTCACAGCAGTTCATGGATAAAACCACGCGGTGATGCAGCAGTCAACTTTCTTGTCTCGACCCAAGGACTTGGAGCATGGCAGCGCTCTGACTCTCTCACCTTCTTAGCTTTCTCCAGCAGTTTCACCGTCATGTTTCCAGTACCGGGTCCCACCTCCAGAACCACGTCTGTCGGCCTGAGAGCAGCCTGAAACACAGGACACACACAGAGCGGCTCAGACACAAACACGAATCAGGAAAACTGTGTATAATGAAAATAAATTCACGTGTCTGTGGACACACTTGTGTGGGGAAACATTTACATTCACATCTCAGTGGCAGAGTGCATTAGAACAGCCTCCCACCTTCTCAATGATACTATTGACGACCAGGGGATTCTTCAGGATGTGCTGGCCGATGCCGGTGTTGAACATGATCCCTGCAACAGACAGAAAACACGACAGTGTCAACAGTGAAGGAAGGAAATGGATTTATACAAGTCCAGTAAACAAACTACTTCTACATTAGATTATACTCTTACATTATAAACACACTTCAGGCAATGAGCTCCACCACATTTCAGAAGAAGTCAGCAGGAACTCTAAATAGTCAGTTTACATTA